ATAGCCCTGATCTCGCGCCATCGGATTACCACTTATTTCGATCCCTGGACAACTCCCTTCGTGGTAAAACTTTTAATGACGATGACGCTGTAAAATCTCACTTAAGTCAGTTTTTGGCCGAAAAGGATCAGACTTTCTACGAGCGTGGAATTTTCAAGTTGTCAGAGAGATGGCAAAAGGTCATCGAACAAAATGGAAAATACATTACAGATTAAATTTCATTCCAAGTAAAAAAAAATTTTTATTTCATTGAACAAATCGGCAATTACTTAATTGCCAACCCAATAGAAAGTTACGCATTTGAGAAAATTGTGATTCGGTAGTTAGAGTAGAGACATGACAGATATTTTTAAAACCTCAAAAATTCGAAATTATTAAAACTGGAAAGCTTTTTTTACATTGGAACCGTGAAATATTATAAACAAAAGTAAAGAATAGACTCATTAATTAATTTTGGTTGTAAAGCCGTCATGATTAGAACCTTTTTTCTTTAGCATTCAAACCTTAAAATGAAATACAGTAGATCGATTAATATTTGCATATAATAATCAATCTACGAACTGTGATTATTCTATCGTAAAATATCTTTGTCATTCTTTAATAATACATATTTTCAAGTAAGTTTCCTGACAGTTTCATTAGAAAATGTTAACATTCATAAACACAACAACCGTAAAAAGTAAAGGTGTAAAACTTGTAACTCATTAGTCAAAGTTTCAACATAGAAAATAAGAATATCTGCATATAATACAATCCAGGAGTTCCAGTTAAGCATTGGATTCTGTAAAAAATGTGATATTTTGCAAAATGATGGCATTGCGAGGAAAAGCATTGCACGCTTTCAAACATTACGGAACAAGCAAAAATTGCACACCGTGACCCATGAATTTACGAGTGTTCATGAGCATGAAAAATGCATATACCTTAACAAAAGAATAGTTAATGGTTCCCGAAATAGTACACGGTTCCTGATTAGTTGGCTATTTCAACTCTAAACACATTTCAAAGAATTGATATTCTTCACGGAAGAAAGAAATTGTTTTCAAAGAGCCAACGCACAAGAGCAATCTTTCAGGTTCTTTCAGTTCAATGAAATCTAGAATGTGACAGAAATATTGATTTTTGTGGGCCGAAAGTGGCCTATGTGCGCGTTAGTCTGCCTCGATAGTGCGAAGCTGTAATTCCCGTGACGCAGCTTTATTCTTCGTTGGTTCCGCGTCGATTTCGACGGTCGATCGCGGGCCACGCGTTTTCCATAAAACATCAGCAGGAAAGTGTTTCCTGGGGGTCGTGCTGGTGCATGCCTCGCCTTCGAACAACATTTAACGAACCTTCCGCTTGTTCCTCTTCACATAGAACAATTATGTACAACACGGTGCAGATTTCGCAAGCCGCTTCAATCATCAAGCGTACTATTGGGTTGGCAACTAAGTAATTGCCGATTTGTTCAATGAAATAAAAAATTTTTTTACTTGGAACGAAGTTTAATCTGTAATGTGTGTATTTTCCATTTTGTTCGATGACCTTTTGCCATCTCTCTGACAACTTGAAAATTCCACGCTCGTAGAAAATCTGATCCTTTTCGGCCAAAAACTGAGTTAAGTGAGATTTTACAGCGTCATTATTATTAAAAGTTTTACCACGAAGGGAGTTGTCCAGGGATCGAGATAAGTGGTAATCCGATGGCGCGAGATCAGGGCTATATGGCGGGTGTAACATCAATTCCCAACCAATATC